GCCGAGATCGCGCCACTGCACTCCAGCCTGGGTGACAGAGTGAGACCCTTCACTCCTGCAAATGTGTGCTGTCATCACATACACTTCAGTTTTGTTCAAATGAGCCTTTTCTGAAAGTGTCCTGCTGTTGCCTTTACGTAGTGGCTCCAGGCAGGACATGTAGCCATGTAACTCAGCGGTCAGTGTGTCGACAGTGCAAACAGGATGCTTCCTGTGCTGGGGCTGGTATCGGAAGCTTAGAACAGATTTCCTGACACTCGATAATGCCAGGGATCTTAGCGTTCATCCCGTATAGTCAAGCCTCCACTTTATATATTCCCTCTAGAGCAGGCGTCCCCAAACTTTTTACACAGGGGGCCAGTTCACTGTCCCTCAGACCATTGGAGGGCCGCCACATACTGTGCTCCTCTCACTGACCACCAATGAAAGAGGTGCCCCTTCCTGAAGTGAGGCGGGAGGCCAGATAAATGGCCTCAGGGGGCCGCAGTTTGGGGACGCCTGCTCTAGAGCGTCCTCAGCAGATTGTCTCTATTTGAACTTTGATTGATGGGGTGCTTGTTACTCAAGGAGGCAACATGTGGCAGCTGTCTGTGCCCTGCTTGTCCTCCAGTGGCGGCTCACCATGAGAGCCAAGGCTAATAATGCTCAGGTGTCCAACAGGGTAGTCCCTGCTCTTTCAGGCTTTGTTTGTTGTTTGTTTTTGCTGGCAGCCCCTAACTCGGCAGATGTGACTGAGAGCTATCTTCTCCATTCAGATGGCTTTTGAAGGATGCTTTCCTAGTTCTTAAGTGTGGCCTCAGCACTGGACATTGTCTGGTAGCACACTGGGACCTTCCCTGCAGCCATTTAATTTACTGTGATGCCGGACAGTACAGCGACTCATTTCTTCTGGCAGGTACATCACACTGTTGACTCAGTTTGATGTGATCAGCAAAATCTGCCCAGACTTCTTCACAGAAGTAGCCATTATGCCAAGTCTTCTCTAGCTCATGTAAGTAGATTTTAAATTCCTAAATACGGAATTTGACATTTATTGCTATTAAATTTTTTTTTTTTTGAGATGGAGTCTCACTCTGTCGCCCAGGCTGGAGCACAGTGGTGTTATTTCTTGGCTCACTGCCACCTCCTGAGTTCAAGTGATTCTCCTGCCTCAGCCTCCCAGGTAGCTGAGATTATAGGCATGCACCACCATGCCTGGCTAATTTTTTTATTATTTTTTTTGAGATGGGAGTTTCGCTCTTGTTACCCAGGCTGGAGTGCAATGGCGTGATCTCGGCTCACCGCAACCTCTGCCTCCTGGGCTCAGGCAATTCTCCTGCCTCAGCCTCCTGAGTAGCTGGGGTTACAGGCATGTGCCACCATGCCCAGCTAATTTTTTTTTGTATTTTTAGTAGAGACGGAGTTTCACCATGTTGACCAGGATGGTCTTGATCTCTTGACCTCGTGATCCACCCGCCTCGGCCTCCCAAAGTGCTGGGATTACAGGCTTGAGCCACTGCACCCGGCGTTAATTTTTGTATTTTTTAGTAGAGATGGGGTTTTGCCATGTTTTCCAAGCTGGTCTTGAACCCCTGACTTAAGGCAATCTGCCCTCCTTGGCCTCCCAAAGTGCTAGGATTACAGGTGTGAGCCACTGCACCTGACCTGCTATTAACTATTTTTAGCCAACAATTTTAGCCTATTAAGAGCTTTAAAAAATCTTGATTCCATAACCCAGTATACTAGCTGTCCATCCCAATGTTGTGTTACTTTTAATTTTTTTTTTTTTTTTTTTTTTTTTGAGACGGAGTTTTGCTCTTGTTACCCAGGCTGGAGTGCAATGGCTCAATCTTGGCTCACCGCAACCTCCGCCTCCTGGGTTCAAGCAATTCTCCTGCCTCAGCCTCCTGAGTAGCTGGGATTACAGGCATGTGCCACCATGCCCAGCTAATTTTTTGTATTTTTAGTAGAGACGGGGTTTCACCATGTTGACCAGGATAGTCTCGATCTCTTGACCTCATGATCCACCTGCCTTGGACTCCCAAAGTGCTGGGATTACAGGCTTGAGCCACCGCGCCCGGCTACTTTTAATTTTGATAAACTGTCTTCTGTGTTTTCATCTTTTTTATTTTTTTATTTTTTTTTTTTGAGGCGGAGTTTCGCTCTTGTTACCCAGGCTGGAGTGCAATGGCGCGATCTCGGCTCACCGCAACCTCCGCCTCCTGGGTTCAGGCAATTCTCCTGCCTCAGCTTCCTGAGTAGCTGGGATTACAGGCACGTGCCACCATGCCCAGCTAATTTTTAGTATTTTTAGTAGAGACGGGGTTTCACCATGTTGACCAGGCTGGTCTCGATCTCTTGACCTTGTGATCCACCCGCCTTGGCCTCCCAAAGTGCTGGGATTACAGGCTTGAGCCACCGCGCCCGGCCCTGTGTTTTCATCTTAAAGAGATACCCTGAGAGATTTTAATAACATCTGATGTGTATGATCGACATCTGGTAGCCCTATCAAAAAGGGAAATAAAGTTGTCTGATTACCTGGGCATGGCGGTGCATACCTGTAACCCCAGCTACTTGGGAGGCTGAGGCAGGAGAATCACTTGAACCTGGGAAGCAGAGGTCGCAGTGAGCCAAGATCGCGTCATTGCACTCCAGCCTAGGCAACAAGAGCGAAACTTCTTCTCAAAAAACAAGAAAATAAAGTTGTTTGAGTAAATCTTTTTTTTTTTTTTTTTTTTTTTTTTTGAGACGGAGTTTCGCTCTTGTTACCCAGGCTGGAGTGCAATGGCGCGATCTTGGCTCACCGCAACCTCCGCCTCCTGGGTTCAGGCAATTCTCCTGCCTCAGCCTCCTGAGTAGCTGGGATTACAGGCACGCGCCACCATGCCCAGCTAATTTTTTGTATTTTTAGTAGAGACGGGGTTTCACCATGTTGACCAGGATGGTCTTGATCTCTTGACCTCGTGATCCACCCACTTCGGCCTCCCAAAGTGCTGGGATTACAGGCTTGAGCCACCGCGCCCGTCCCCTAGTAAATCTTATTTTTAGTCAACTCGTGGGCACCTAGTGGTCCCCATGTTTTAGGAAATTGCTCAGACATGACATGTTCAATAAGCCCATTTTGAGTTTTGTGAACTGTTGTACTTATGTGACTTGAAAATTTGAAATTTTGCTGAGCTTGAGGCTCTAGCAACCTTCTGTTGGTAATGTTTTCTTAAAGATTATTGACAGTGATTCCTCAAGTTTTTTCCAGTATAATTTGCTTGAACCAGCTCACTTGAACTAATTCTGAGGGGCTTGAGATTAACCAGAGGCTCAGACTCCCGCCCTAGGTTGGTGATAGTTCTGCTACTCTTCCCCTTGTGGGGATAATCTGTGTTATTCATCCCTTTGCTCTCGTCTAGTAGACCTTAACTTTCTTTTTTTTTTTTTAAGACAAGGTCTCCCTTTGTCACCCAGGCTGGAGTGCTGTGGTGTGATCACAGCTTACCACAGCCTCAACCTCCTGGGCTCAAGCAGTCCTTCCGCCTCAGCTTCCCTAGTAGCTGGGACTACAGGGATGTGCCACCACGCCCAGCTAATTTTTGGTATTTTTTGTGGAGGGCAGGTTTCACCATGTTGCTCAGAAGTTCAAGACCAGCCTGGGAGACATAGTGAGACCTCATTTCTACAAAACATTTACTATTACCGGTTTTGAGACAGAATCTTGCTCTGTCACCCAGGCTGGAGTGTCGTGACACCATCTCAGCTCACTGCAACCTCCACTTCCCAGGTTCAAACAATCCTCCTCAGCCTCCCAAGTAGCTGGGACTACAGGCATGCACCACAATGCCAGCTATTTTTTTGTATTTTTAGAGATAGTGTTTCATCACGTTGGCCAGGCTGGTCTTGAACTCCTGACCTCAGGTGATCTGTCCACCTTGGCCTCCCAGAGTGCTGGGATTATAGGTGTGAGCCACCACGGTTGGCCAAGCATGACTGGTTTCTGTCAGGCCTGAGTTCTATCAGATTTTACCTCTGCCCCTAACTAGCAGCATGACTTGGAAACTTAACTTTGTCAAGCATTGGTTTCCTCGTGTGTAAAATCACAGTGCTTGGCTGGGTGCAGTGGTTCATGCCTGTAAATCCCAGCGCTTTGGGAGGCTGAAGCAGGAGGATCGCATGAGTCCAGGAGTTCAAGACCAGCCAGGGCAACACAGTGAAACCGTCTCTAAAAAAACACAAAAACTAGCTGGGCTTGGTGGCACATACTTGTAGTCCCAGCTATTCAGGAGGCTGAGGTGGGAGGATCACCTGAGCCTGGGAAGTTGAGGCTGCGGTGGCCCGTGACCGCACCACTGTATTTCAGTGCAGGCGACAGAGTGAGAGCCTATCTCAAAAAAAATAGTTCCTTTCCTCAGTTGAGGATGAAATGAAGCTTTTAATGAGATGCCTGGCCCTTCCGTGTGGCCGTTACTATTCTCTTAAGCATTCACTGGGCAGGGCTGGTGAGCACACTGAGAATCCTAGACAGAAGGTCTTGGCTCCTAGGGCAAGGCAGAGGTACTACGCACAAATACTGTGTTCGAGGAGAAGCCGAGCTTCCCGCAAACGCCAGCATGAAGCGTTTTGACCTTTGGCCTAGTGAAAAGAAAGAGCATTCCCTTCCTTTGTGCCCATACAACACCTGGGTGAATTATAGATGATGGCAGATTTCTTAGGCAGTATAGAATGAAGGAGAAGACACCTGACTCCTTCCCAAACTGAGGGAGGGCCCCAGGGGGCCTCAAGCTGCCATTCTGACAGTAGAGAGCAGGTTGTGGGTTTCCAGAAGGAAGTGAGGAAAGAGGATGGGGCCAGCTCTGCACCCCTGGATGCAAGGCCATAAGGCTGAGGATTTTCCTAAGCCTGTCGCACTTGCTTACCCTTGGGGCTGTGGCTTCCCTGAGAGCTAGTCTTGCTGCTCTCGAGGGTGGAGCTCTGGCAGGAGGCCAGGCAGGCCAGAACTACAGCCTGGATTCTTTCCACTGCCATTCCTGGGCTGGGACTGCACTCAGGTGCAGGTGTTGCCAGGAACACAGGTGAGTGCATTGGACTTTCGCGGCCTGAGGCCCTGTCTTCAGTGGCCAGACTGGGCCGGGATCTAGCTGCTGCTGTGATCTCTGGAGCTCCACAAATGTTGGCTGCATGAAAGCAGTTGCGTGCATGTTTGGGGGCAGCCGAAGGCAGAGTTTTTCCTGGGACCCTCTAGAAAGTCAGCTGAGAAGCCTGTATTCTCAGGGATCCTTGCTGTAGTTACAAGATAAGCATCTCTGCACATGCAGAGCACTGGTAACTATGAAGAGGCGCAGTCTCCTGAGCGTGACTGGCTGTTGGTGTGGCTTTGCTGCAGCTGCCGTGTGCCATTGGTGATCTTGCTCCTCTTGCTTTGGGAAAGTAAGAGGGAGAGAACAGAGAGTGGGGGTGAAATCAGTGAGCTGCTGTGTGGGTGGGAGTAAGGAGGTGTGGAGGATTACAGGCCATCTTCCCTGATGGTTCTTCATCCCAGCAGGAAGAACGGAACAAGAAGTGGTTAGGGGAGGGGGAGCCGAATGCTGGGATCTCAGGTTAAAGAGGGCTCTTGCCAGAAGCTTAGGTAATACTTAAAATCAGTGGGGCATGCAGGCAGGGTATCTTTGAGACAATGTTTGGGCACCCAGCACATGGTGAGACCCCTGAATGGTGTCTACTTGTGTCTTTCTCCCCTAGCATCACCGTGCTTGCCAGGGTCCCAGGAGGAGGAGTGAGGCCTGAAGCAGCCATGAGGGCCTGATGCCATCCTGACCCCAGCCCTTCATGGAGCAAGGACAGGGTGGGTGTGGCCACTTCTCCCTCACAATGGCTTATAGTCATAGTGGTGGCATTGGTCTTTCTCAGGAGTCTGGTGGCAGCGTGCCCAGCACCATGCACCTGCCCGACCTCAGGCAGTGTGGTGGACTGTGGGGGGCCTCCACCTGCTCCGTCTCCCTTCCAGGCTGCCCGATGGAGTCTGGCTTCTGGAGCTGAGCCACAATCATCTCAGCCATCTGCCGGTTGGCGCCTTCCAGGGCCTCTGGGGACTGCGGGTGTTGCTGCTTTCTCACAATGTCCTGCGGGATCTGTCTGGTGGGGCCCTGGGGGGCCTGAGGTTCCTGGAGCAGCTGGACCTCAGCCACAACCAGCTGGCCCGTCTACCCCCAGACTTCTCAGCTACCCTGGGCTCTCTGCTCCGCCTGGACCTCTCTCACAACCTGCTCACTTCCCTGGACCCCAACAGCCTGTGGTGCCTGGGGAGCCTGGAGCAGCTTGACCTGAGCTACAACCAGCTGGCTGAACTGGCCGCAGGGGTCTTTGGGGGCCTCTTCCGCCTACGCTGGCTCTCGCTGGCTGGGAACCAGCTGAAGCGGGTAGAGGGGGCTGCACTGGCCACTATGCCAGGCTTGGAAGTCCTCTCTCTGGCTGGGAAGGACATCAGTGAGCTGGAGGCCAAGGCGCTTGCAACCTTAGGGGCACTGGGCCTTCTCTCTCTCGTGGGCAACCGACTGCAGCCCCTGGAGTTCAAGGCAGTGGCAGGCATCCGGACGGCAGGCACGTGGCTGCTGTTGGCCAGCAACCCCTGGACATGTGACTGTGACCTGCATCGAGCCTTCGGAAAACTGGGTCACCTGCAGCACCTGCGTGTGGCAGACTTGGGCAACCTGACTTGCGCTGGGCCCGAAAGGCTGTCTGGGGCGATGCTGAGCGGTGTGGAGGCCCAGCTTTGCCTGGCGGAGACTGCCTCTGTGCTGGGCATCACAGGCAGCGTGCTGCTAACTGTGGCTGTGGCTGTGCTGATGGCAGAGCGCAAGCGCAGGCAGGGCCCGGAAGAAGCCGGGGAGCTGGGGAGCTCTCTGGAGAGGTGAGGGGTGCTGCAGAGCAAGGTCAAGGCAGCTAGAGGAGGGAGAACAGAGGCAGGTGTGAGAGAGGAAAAGGGAAGTTCCTCAGAAGTCTGTGGAGCTCAGTTGGAGCTCAGTCCTCCCAGGTATGGAGGAAAAATTAAATATGAAATTTGAACTCAGCTGAATGTGGACACAAACAATGGTCACCAAGTCCCGGAACGGGCTGTGTGAGCCCCTTGAGGCGTTCATCAGTGCTGTTTCGGAGAAATCTATTTCAATCTATTCCTATATATTAGTTATTGAAAAACAATAGACAATCACAGAAACAAGTTGACCTTTTTGGTCACGAAGGGCCCTCATGGCTGGGCTTCATGAGCCCTCTCCTGCCTGTGCGCGGACGAGTGGCCAACTCTGGAGCCCAGGCTGCTGCTTCCCGGTCTCGTGGTGAATCCTCCACAGTCTGGTGAATGTAAATATCTTTTTCCTTCTCCCCTTCCCATTGCAATTTGTTTATTATATTAATTTGCTTATCATATCATTTGCTTATTATATCTGCATTGCCATTTACGTGGGATAAAGCTTATTTTCCCTTAAAGGTATTGTGTGTGTGCCTTTTCTTCTCCCCTCATGCATCTTCTGCACAGAACACCAGGCAGGGGTGGGAGGAACTGGGGGTGGGGGTGGGGGCCACAGAGACAAAGGGCTGTGTTCATGTCTCAGGGCCCAGGCCACCCACCCATCTCCCTCTTCTGACCTGATAGAATGCCAGTATCTGTCCCAACCCTAGAAATGAGGATTTTGCCCCAAGTTCTTCCCTTCTCAGTATCCCTCTGGGAAAGAGGAAAGAGCAGGAAAAGATAGAGAGGGACTTCAGCCCAGAGAAATTGGGCACAGTGGGTACCAAAGCAAGCTGCCGCAATCCTAATCTTCCTCCTTCTCTTCACACAAGTCCCTGGCCTCTGCTGCTGGAGACTGGTTGGAAACAGCTTGCTAAGGGTATGATGGGAGGGTAGGGGCGTTGTGCCTGTAGGGGCAGCCCGGGCAGACTCCTAGGACTATTTTATGGACTGTTGTACACAGTCCTGGTTCTGGTCTTCCTCAACACTTTAGGTCTGTACACCATGCCATTTGAAACGGAGAGGTGAAGAGACTGGAAAAAGAAAATCAATTGGAAAGTTGATTCTGTACTATGTGCCTGTATCGTGGTAAAGGAAATTTGTTTTGTTTGGTTGTCACTAGTGCGCAGAGGTAGACAAAATTACTTTTTTTTTTTTTTTTGAGAGGGAGTCTCACTCTGTCTCCCAGGCTGGAATGCAGTGGCACAATCTTGGCTCACTACAACCTCCGTCTCCCTGGTTCAAGTGTTTCTCCTGCCTCAGCCTCCTGAGTAGCTGGGATTACAGGAACATCTGTAAACAGCAAGCAGAAACCCAGGCACCATGTTTGTCCTCATGGAGCTCACAATCTAGTGGGGGGAGACTGTCAATACAAGAATCACAGATACATTGGCTGGGTGTGGTGACTCATGCCTGTAATCCTGGCACTTGGGGAGGCTGAGGCAGCTGGATCAATTGAGGTCAGGAGTTCCAGACCAGCCTGGCCAACATGGTGAAACCCCATGTCCACTAAAAATAAAAATTGGTGGGGTGTGGTGGTGGGTGCCTGTAATCCCAGCTACTTGGGAGGCTGAAGCAGGAGAATTGCTTGAACCCTGGAGGTGGATGCTGTAGTGAGCCAAGATCGCACTACTGTACTCCAGCCTGGGTGACAGAGTGAGACCCTGTCTTAGAAAAAAGTCACAAATACATAATTGCCACCATGCTAAGTGATTCAAAGGAAGGTAGCTAGCTGATGTTATGAGAACATATAACTGGGTGGGGGTGGGAGAAGGGGCTGAGAACACACTGGAGGGGAATGTGGAGACCCCTTGGATGTCTGCTGCAATTAAACTGACAAAAGATGACAATCTGGGCTACAGTGGGAGCATGGCAGCCGGAGAAAATGGACTGACTTGAGATGTCCCAGATGTTCAGATCTCCCTTTTCTCTCAGGGGCCAGGCAAAAGGCAAAGCCCAAAGAGGTGACTTGAGCCAGGAGGCCCCTTGCGTTGAACTTAAAAACAGGGATTTCCTCTGGTGCGTGTATGTACCATTTATTGAACCGCTACTATGTACTAGGACCAACCTGTCACATTTAAAGTTCACAACTCTGAGGCAGGTGTCATTATCCCCATTTCATGATGAATCTCACAAAGTTTGGGTGATGTGCCCAAAATCACACAGGGTTGGAATTAGGATTAGGCCCCTGATCGGGCTGCATTCAAAGATCAGTTTGCACTACGGTCCAAGACTTCTGCTATCCTGAGCCCACGGTTCCTTCCTCTAGTCTAGTTTTCAGTTTTGCAGGGACAAAGATGGGCCCTGAAGTCTCCATGAGCAGACAAGAAGGCTGGACTTCGCAACTAGAACACCTTACGGTCCGGAACCAGAGAGCGACGCCATTGTTTCTGGGAGGAAAAAGAAGAAAAAGCGCTTAACCCGGAAGTTGCGTGTCCCCCACGCGCCGGCCTCCCTGACGGGTGAGGCCGCAGAGGACTGCCCTTTCCCAAGATGGCGTCAAAGATATGTTCGAGACGGTGGCTGTTGCAGCTGATTATGCAGTTGGGTTCGGTGCTGCTCACACGCTGCCCCTTTTGGGGCTGCTTCAGCCAGCTCATGCTGTACGCTGAGAGGGCTGAGGCACGCCGGTGAGCAGGCCTACGCAGCTGCTAAACGCGGCGGGGGGCGGCGATGTGGGCAAGAAATTGGGGGCTAGAAGTCGGGACCCTTGGACTGGGTGGAATTGGGACCTCTTTGGGAGGGGTTCTGGTCCGGGTGTCGGGCCAAATCTGGTAGGGCGGTCCTGGCCATGAGAGGGGACCCCGGTTTGGGGGAGCAGTGGAGCCTGCGGGAACTCAGGGGGTGTCAAGGTTCTTCCCCCACCCTTTCATTCTGTCCTCGTTGCTTCCCTACTCCTGGCTCGCAGGAAGCCCGACATCCCAGTGCCTTACCTGTATTTCGACATGGGGGCGGCCGTGCTGTGCGCTAGTTTCATGTCCTTTGGCGTGAAGCGGCGCTGGTTCGCGCTGGGGGCCGCACTCCAATTGGCCATTAGCACCTACGCCGCCTACATCGGGGGCTACGTCCACTACGGGGACTGGCTGAAGGTGAGCTCCTCGGCTTCCCTCTGGGTGATGGGGAATCAGAGGCCAGGGCACAGGGCTGTTGGTGGGCGGTAAATGGTGCTGGCCAGGTGCACAGTGCGACGCCTGGGAGGTTCGAAACCCTAGGCTTACGGAGATTACAGAGCGCAGAAATGGATCTTAGAGACTACACAGACTTCCCTTTCACAGTGTGGAAACCGAGGTCCAGAGATGGGAAACAGACTTTCCCAACCACAGTTAGGATACTGGTGGGACCAGAACCCCAGTCACCTGGTTCCCAGAAACTTTTAAACTGTTAGTTTAATAATTTCAGACTCAAGGGGTAAAAGGGACCCTGGAGAGAGTACCTAGTTTTCATAAAGTCATTTTATGACAATGTAATTAGTCTTGGTGTAGCATTTAAGCCAGACCCTGTGCCAGGCACAGTAGGCTTGGAGATAAGGTTGGACAAAGGCACTGTCCTCGAGGAAGAGACTGTCAGACCCTTAGAAGAGGCAGATGTGTGAACAGCTACAGGACAACAAGATCAATGGTTTTGTTTTTGTGGGACAGATCCCATACTGTGTAGAATAAAGGACACCAAGATTAGAGTCTACAGATCTGAGAGCGGGGAAGGGAGAAACACATTGCGTCTGGGTTCTGCCACTTACTTTCTGTAGGACCTGGTAGTTTTCTTTTGTTGTTGTTGTTGTTGCTTTTTTCGAGACGGAGTTTCACTCTTGTTATCCAGGCTGGAGTGCAATGGTGCGATCTCGGCTCACTGTAACCTCCGCCTCCTGGGTTCAAGCAATTCTCCTGCCTCAGCCTCCTGAGTAGCTGGGATTACAGGCGTGCGCCACCATGCCCAGCTAATTTTTTGTATTTTTAGTAGAGACGGGGTTTCACCGTGTTGACCAGGATGATCTCGATCTCTTGATCTCGTGATCCACCCGCCTCAGTCTCCCAAAGTGCTAGGATTACAGGCTTGAGCCTTGTTTTGTTTTGTTTTTTTGAGACAGAGTCTCTCTCTGTCCCTCAGGCTGGAGTGCAATGGTATGATCTCGGCTCACTGCAACTTCCACCTCCTGGGTTCAACCGATTCTCCTGCCTCAGTCTCCCCAGTAGCTGGGATTACAGGCATGCGCCACCACACCCGGCTAATTTTTGTATTTTTAGTAGGGACAGGGTTTCCTCATATTGGCCAGGCTGGTCTTGAACTCCTGACCTCAGGGTAATCTATCTACCTCAGCCTTCCAAAGTGTTGGGATTACAGCCATGAGCCACCATGCCCAGCAAGATGTGACAGTTTTCTTAACCCTCTGGGCCTCAGTTTCTACTTCTATTGAAAACGAAAAAGAGTGATCTGTCTCTGTTACACCTGCCCACCAAGCTCGGAAATGTAAGAAGATTCACCAGATGGAATGGGATGTGTAGAGATGGGCAGTTTTACACTCTGGGAAGCTAGGAGAGATGTGGCGGCTGCAGCGTTCTTGACTGGGATCCCCTTGCCCCGGCCTAGGTCCGTATGTACTCGCGCACAGTTGCCATCGTCGGTGGCTTTCTCGTGTTGGCCAGCGGTGCTGGGGAGCTATACCGCCGGAAACCTCGCAGCCGCTCCCTGCAGTCCACCGGCCAGGTGTTCCTGGGCATCTATCTCATCTGTGTGGTATGTTGGGGGACTGCTGGTTGGAGATGCTGGCTGGGAGCGAAATGTGAGTCCGGGCCTGGCAGAACCCCAGGAAGGTGGACAGAGAATGAGGCCTGTGTGCAGTTCTTGGTGGCCTTGGCTCCTGGGAATTGCCCTGGCCAGCTTCTGGGCCTCAGGGGCCTCCAAGTGCCTGTTGAGAGGCCCTTCTTCCAACAGTGTTGCCCTCAGGTAGATTTGTCATTAAATCCCAACCTTGAGAGCCAGGAGAACAAGATGGGGTGATACTCTCATGGCTTCAGCCCCCAAAGGACTGGAAGGGGATAAAGGAGATTTGGTGGGGTCAGGCCCCAGCTGGGACTGGGTAGCTCTAGGGTAGCTCTAGGTTAGCCATGTAATGATTCTCCCTGATGGTAGCTCTAGGGTAACCACTTACGATTCTCCCTGGTGCTAGGGGAGGCCAGTGTGGATGGGGACATGGACAGGCCCCAGGCCACTTGGTCTCTCATCTTAGTTACCAGGTATGTCTCAAGTATAGCTCTCTGTGTGGGCTCCCATATTCAGAGGCAGGAGCTCCAGTCTGACTGTGGAAATATACTTCCTTCATAGTCCCCAGGGTGAGGGGAGACACAGGCCCTAGTCTTCTGGGACCCCATGGTCTGAGAGAGAGACAAAGGCCCTACTTTCAGAGGGTCTCCAGTCTGAGAAGGGATTCAGAAGCCCTTCTGCAGGGGCTCATCTGCAGGTTCCGTCTCCAAGGTGGGTCTCCCCAGACAGGCTTCCGAGCCTGTTGGAGAGTCTCAGAGGATGATATGTCTCCAGGCCTACTCACTGCAGCACAGCAAAGAGGACCGGCTGGCGTATCTGAACCATCTCCCAGGAGGGGAGCTCATGATCCAGCTGTTCTTCCTGCTGTATGGCGTCCTGGCCCTGGCCTTCCTGTCAGGCTACTACGTGACCCTCGCTGCCCAGATCCTGGCTGTACTGCTGCCCCCAGTCATGCTGCTCATTGATGGCAATGTTGCTTACTGGCACAACACGCGGCGAGTTGAGTTCTGGAACCAGATGAAGCTCCTTGGAGAGAGCGTGGGCATCTTCGGAACTGCTGTCATCCTGGCCACTGATGGCTGAGTTTTATGGCAAGAGGCTGAGATGGGCACAGGGAGCCACTGAGGTGACCCTGCCTTCTTCCTTGCTGGCCCAGTTGCTGTTTATTTATGCTTTTTGGTCTGTTTGATCTTTTGCCTTTTTAAAATTGTTTTTTTCTTTTTTGCATTAAGAGGCAGCTGGTTCATCCACATTTCTGGGCTCAGTGCTTGGGAGGGTGGGAGCCCTGGCATCATTGCCTCACAGGCTTTTTTCCTGTTTGTTAGAGCCGAGGCCAGCTGCCTCCTGGGTACCCTGTCCCTGAGAAGGGAGTATGGCAGGGCTGGGATGCGGGTCCTGAAAGTGGGAGACAGAAGGAAGATGGAGATCAGAAGTGAGCGAGTGTGAACACTTCCTCTTTGAACCTGGCAGATGCAGCTGGGCTCTGCAGTGCTGTTCCGAGACTGAGAGTGAGTGTGTGCCGACACAGTGGTTCAGGCCCAGGAGGGGCAAAGGGGCTGAGCACTACAGAAGTCACATGGGTTCTCAGGGTATGCCAGGGGCAGAAGCAGTACCAGCTATTGCTCACCTCGAGAGCAGCGCAGACCCTGGTCTGCTCGGAGCTGTGCAGGGGTGGAGCAGGCAGCGCCAGCCTTGCCCTCCTGTTGCCTCTGTTTCCAGCTCCGTGGTTGGCCTGGTGGGGTTGGAGTTCCCGCCCAAACACCAGACCACACAGCCTTCCAAAAATAAACATTTTATATAGACATTTGGTTTTGCTTTGCTTCTCTGTGCTCCCCAACAGGGCACTTTGCCATTGGCTGGGACTGATCTTGGGTTTCTCAAAAGACCACATCTGGTTAAGCCCCACCTTGGCCCTCCTGTGATCTTTCCCCTATTCTAAGATTTCCCACAGTTCTTTGGGTCTTTTTTTTTTTTTTTTAATTTTTTACTTCTTTATTTTTTAGAGACGAGGTCTCACTTTGTTGCCCAGGCTGGTTTCAGACTCCTTGGCTCAAGCGATTCTCCAGCCTCAGCCTCCCAAAGTGCTGGGACTACAGGAATAAGCCACCATGCCCAATGGCTCTCTTTTTCAAGAACTTCAAAATCCTCACTGTACTGTGTGCTTTTGATCTCTCAACTCAATTCCTCTTGTTGTAGCTTGTCTTTTTCTCCCCATTTGGATCTGGTTCTTGTGAAGACATCCTTGGTGAGAGCAGCTAGAGGGAAATAACTTTTTTTTTTTTTGAGACGGAGTTTTGCTCTTGTCACCCAGGCTGGAGTGCAATGGCAAGATCTTGGCTCACCGCAACCTCTGCCTCCCAGGTTCAAGCATTTCTCCTGCCTCACCCTCCTGAGCAGCTGGGATTACAGGCATGCGTCACCATGCCTGGCTAATTTTGTATTTTTAGTAGAGATAGGGTTTCTTCATGTTGGTCGGGCTGGTCTCGAACTCCTGACCTCAGGTGATCTCTCTGCCTCAGCCTCCCAAAGTGCTGGGATTACAGGCATGAGCCACTGCACCCGGCGGAGGGAGAAAACTGTTGTATCCACTGTGAATTGGAATATTTTACATTTTACACATGAAGGAAATGGAGGCTCAGAGAGGGTAAGCAGTTTGCCTCAAGCTACAGAGCAAATCCAGCCCATAGAGCTGGATTTCAGGTCGAGTCTGTTGAATGGCCAAGCCCAGATATGTACTCAATGTGACCCATCTCCTGAGGGGAGACAGAGGCTGCTCTATCCCAGCCCCTCCTGTGCCATGATGGTCTCTCTGTTGACCTCCTTTCTAGTCTATGTGCGTCTGCCAGAAAGTCGCCCCAGCAGCAGTCAGCACGGTGCCTGGCACATCACGGAGCTTCAAAAAATGTCAACGAAACCCCTGGGTTTTGGATTTCTGTCTAGCTGGTCCTGTAGAGACTGGACACAACCTCTAGTAGGGCTGAGGGGAAAACGTCCAAGTTTGAGCTTTTAAGCAAAAGCCATCTTGTAGCGTCTCTGGGCTCTTGTAGGTAAAAGGTGTGCCACTAATGTCTGGGCCTGGCTCAGCCCAGACTGGGAGCTGTGGGTGGCGCACCCACAGGGAAGGGGAGCTGGGGCTGCTGTGGCCTGGTCTGTGGAAGGCAGGATGCTTCCTAACCTCTGGGAGGGAGACAGTGGCAGTGTTCATCCTAGGAGTCCTCTACTCCTTCTAGGAGTCCCCTGGTTCTCCAGCCCTCAAGATCTTTCTCCCAGCATGTGATCCTAGTACTTTGGGAGGCCGAAGAGGGAGGACTGCTTGAGCCCAGGAGTTTGAGACCAGACTTGGTAACATAGTGAGACCTCATCTCTACCAAAAAAAAAAAAAAAAAAAAGCCAGATGTGGTGGTGTGTGCCTGTGGTACCAGCTACTAAGGAGGCTGACGTGGGAGGTTTGCTTGAGCCTGAGGTTGGGGCTGCAGTGAGCTGTGATGGCACCACTACTCCAGCCTTGGTAACACAGCGAGACCAGGTCTTTAAAAAAAAGAATCTTGCTCCCACGGGGTCAGTTCTAATTTTCTTTCAAGTGTGAGCTGACTCTCAGAGAAGTATTTGGATTTTAATGAAGTTCTCCTGAAAAACTGCAAAACCCAAAGGAATTTAAATGAATGGTAGAATATCAGGCAGGTGGGGTAATATCTTGGGTAAGGGCGCCTCAAAACAGCACAGAGGCACAGAAACTAGCTCACCCTTAGGGTTAGTCCTGAGTAGATCCCTGGAAGGCACCCTCCCCTCCTCTAATCCCCAGGTTGAAAATCAAAGGCAATTTGGTTGTGGCTTTGGAGTGAGTCGAGCTGGGATCCTAGACTGGCCCTTCTCTTTCCTGTGCTTGTCCCACTTCAGCGCCTCCTCTGGGCAGAGGAGCTGGGGCTACTTTCTCCTGTGTAGCTCACTCAGCCATCAAGCCCCATCCAGCCTGTGGCTGGCTGCCTGGGGTCACTCATCCCCAGCAGGCATGGCTTTTGGTCCACCCTGGCTGTTCCAGGGCCTGTAGAGTTCATGGTGAGGGTCAGCTGCCGGGGTCAGAAGCTGGCTTGCAAAAGGAGTCTGGCAGCCCCTTGGCGTGGTTGACCAACTCATAGGAGTCCCGGATATCAGCCAGGCCAAACCAGAAGAAGATCCACTGCTTGTTGGAGAAGCTGCCATCACTGTGTTTGAAGTACCTGGGTGGGGGGAGGTGATGCAGCAAACCGTTTTGAGGGCAAGGCCAGTGCTCATGACTCACTGGTTCTGTATTCAGAGAACATTGAGGACCTACTGCATGCTGGGCACCCAGCTAGGTCCTGCTGTGTGTTATCTCATTTTCTCCTTGCAGTAGAGGCCTGAGCCTGGCACTGTGATGCTCAGCTCACGGGGAAGCAGCTAAGGCTGAGAGAAGTTAGGTACCTTGCCAGGTGCACGGTTAGGAAGGGAGCGGTGCCTTGCTCTCCACACTGCCTCAGCTGTGCAGCAAAGCGGAGGGTTCTTGCTCACTTCCTAGTGCCCACAGAGCAGGGTATAGGGGTGAGGGGGCAGTTACTGAAGCAGAGAGAGGACGGGTGTTCCATTGGAGGTGCCGCGGGCCTCCAATAGAGCCTGAGGGTTAGGATTCCTCAGGGCCCTGGGAGAGGTGGGCTCCGTGGGGGTTAGGTGGTGTCACTTGCTTCCAGGAAAGGAGTGTGATATGTGCTCTAACTTTGGCTTTCTGTGTGTTCTGCCCCTGGGAGGTAGTGAAAGGGAGACCAGTGGAAGAAGAGGAAGCTCAGCCTCCTTGGCACGCTTGGCAAGGGCTGGAGAGAAGAGGGAAGTCGGAGCCCAGCCCGGAGCTGGGAGTGGTGGGACCTACCAGGGATTGATGGGATTGGTGACCCGGGAGCGCCAGAAAAGCGTCTGCAGGTCCCGCAGCAGGCACTCCCACAACATCTGACCGGAGCCTTGGCCCTGGCGGCTGGAGCTCACCACAAATTTGTCCAGGTACGGGGTGCCCCCGAGGACGGGCTCCATAGTCAGAATGGCGGCGGCGTTGTACCTGACCGAGCGGGAGAGCGGCAGGCTGGGACCTCTCCCTGGTCCGAAGTTGGCCGGCTGCCCCCCGAGACCCCGCCCTCTGGGGTTCGCAGGCTCACCCCTCGGAGACGTAGATGGAGTGCAGCCGCGGGCGCAGCGAGGCCAGGTAGTCGTCCCTGAGCTTCTTGCCGAAGCTGGCGTTGACCAGGTTCACTAGACGGCCCTGGTCCAGGTTGTCCAGGCTGCGCACCCGTAGCATCCGCTCGGCGTTCTTGAACAAGGTCCCGGACCCTGGAGGAGGACGAGGAGGGGCTAGTCGGGCAGGAGAGCCGTCTGCCAGCCTGGTGGGGGCTGCAGGTAGGGCAGGGGCTGGTGGAGCAATTTCCGTCTTTGGGAGACCTACGCAGTGAAATGATTTCAGTGGTCTGCATAGATTTATCTGTGATTTTATTTTTTCTCTTTTCTTTTTTTTTTTCTTCCTATGAGCTGTGGCTTTGTTGTATATATGTGATTTTAATTCAAGGAGATGCATTTCCCAGGCAGAGCATGTGCCCCTAGCTCCTCCGGCCGCCGGGAGCCTTTAGTCCCGCCTGTCTCCTGGAAGTCGGCCTCCCGCCGCTGACCCATCCCCGCAACCTAAGCCCCACCCATCTCTCGTGGTGGAGCCCCTCGTGGCCCCGCCCACCGGGCACCTCCCTCTTCCTCTCGTCCCGCCCATTCCTGTAATAACTTCTGAATTCCCTCCAGTCCGCTGGAGTCTCCTCTCTCACCTTTCCCGGGTTTCGGCAGCAGCTGGAGCCGTTGCTGTGATCGACCTCTACGGCTCCTGGACAGGAGGAGAAGCCGCTCCTCCTGCCCTCAGACACGCAGGCCGGGCCATTGCTCACTCCCGGGACCCAGCCCCCCGCCAGCCCGCCGCCCTCACCCTTGTTGCTGAAGAGCTCGGTGAGCAGCGTGCTGGCGGCGGTGATGACGGCCGAGGAGTGGTGGGGCAGGCGGCTGAGCACGTCCACGATGAGCCGCATCTGCTGCCGCTCTTTTGTGCTCACCCACTCGGCGTTGCTCACCAGGTCCAGGTCGGTGGGCAGGTTCACGTTACTCAGGACCTGTGTCCGGAGCCCGCAGCTGAACCCGCGGCCCACGGCCGGCACGGACTGCGCCCCTGCCCCACGGACCTCTCTTCTTTCTGACCCCTTTATCCTTTCTTCTGCCCGGAGTCCTTGGCCGGGGAGGGCGCAGATCTGGGCACCCGGGGCTGACCCCCTCCCCTATACTCCCTTAGGCTTTTCTACCCACCTGGCTTGCTAGTCAATCTGCGGCCCATCGGGGAAAGGTGCGAGGGGCGCAAGGGAAGGCCGGGATCGCCGGGGAAAGAAAGGGCCGCACCTTGTGACTGCTGTCGCGCAGGCCTCCTGTGTTATTGAGGAAGATGATCTTGGTGGGCCGCAGCGCCTTGGCCAGCGACGCGGTCACCTCCAGGGAGTCGAGAAGCACGGAGCGGCGCGCGGCCGTCTCCCCAATGGGGCACAGGATGGGGATGCTGCCCGACTCCAGGCACCACTGCAGCAGGTCCGTCTCCACCGAGACGATGCCGCCGTAGCTGTGGGCCAGACGTAGTGCTCGAGAGGGCCCCGTCCAGGCCTGCCGGGCGGGGCAGGGTGGGCAGAGTAGCGCGCTCTGAGGACGCCTGGGCGGGCGGGGCGGGAGGGGGGTCCTAACCTGGCATGGGGAGCCGGCTCCGCAGCGCCTAGCACAGACCCGCCGCCAAAAAAAGGCACGGCAGTGGCTGCGTTGTGCCGAAGCGCGTCCACCAGCACCTTGCAGCTCTCGGCCAGCTGCGCCTTGGCTTCCCAGAAGGAAAGACAGCCCGAGGGCGCTGTGGGGGCGGGCAGCCCCAGGACCACCAGCGGCTTCATGTCCATGCGCTGCAAGAAGGCCAGGGCGAAGGCCAGACTGGATACGGCCCGCCGGCACTTGAGCACCTCCTCGTCCACCTGTGGAGGAGTGGGCGTTCAAGGAACGTGACACGGCCCTGAACCGCTGGCTCCCGTGCAGGGCCGTCTCGGTGACCCTACTCTTCGAGGAGCTCTCAGGACCCACTTCTGGCCACCGGTGCCCACCTGCTCCGCCCTTTGTCCCATTGGGCCTTGCCACTCCCTTATCTCACTCTGGGGTACCTCCCGCCCTGCTCCCTGCGACCTTGGACTCTAGGACACCTTTGGGGGAGGGGCAAAGCAGGCGGCTCCTGTCCTGGCCCTTCTGAACCCCTAACGGCGCCAGTGTTGGGGGCCTTCTTCAGGGCATCACATCTGGCAGGTGGGGCCCCCAGGCTCCTCACTCCGTTTGGAGTGAGGCTTCCGGAGGAGCTTACGGGCTCGCCCATTCCCGGCAGCGCTGGTCTGGGCTCTGCCGGGCTCCTTCCAGCTTCCGCTGCGCAGAGCCCGCAGCCTCTTCCTGCCATGCCTGAGGACAGGTGGCCACACAGCCCCAACCCCTCGCTGTGTCACGGCCCACGCCGGGCTCCGCTCACCTCGATGACGGCGAAGGGCTTGTCCGCGGAGTGGTGGTAGGTCTGGAACTGCGTGAGCCAGTGGCGCGCTTCCCCCGGGCTGGCCCCGCACTGGTTGAGGAAGGCCTGGATGTCTCGCTGCACCAGCGAGCGGCCCCGGGGAGCTTCAGGGGGCTCGTGGGGCACCAGGGCCGTGGGAGTCGGCACCCACGACGGCTCCTCGGCGGCCGGCGTCTGGGAGACGTCTTCCGCGCCCGCGGACTCCTCTGGCGGGGGCTGGGCCTGCGCCCAGGCGGTGCTGAGCCGGCGCTCCGGGCTGGTGCCCCTCGATGCCCGCCGCCGCGCGCCGCAGCTCAGCCTCCGGGCGCCCCCAGTGCCTCCTGGGCTGCGCAGCCTCGGGGCCACAGCAGCTGCCCGCAGAACCGCGGTCGTCAGCGCCGTAGCCATGACGACAACCACTTCTTGACCCCCAAGAGTGGCAGTCTGTCTGGAGCGTCTGGCACTGGGGGGGCTCTTAACTTACCGTTGGGCGGGGCTGGACCCGGCCGGGGCGGGGTCCTGACGAGGGACCAGGAGTCACCTCTGGCTGCGTTTGAGGAGGGTCAGACCATGAGTCAGGGGGCGGGGCCACCAGGCTTACCCGCCCCTGGAGGAACTGAATCCACTATCGAGGGTCAGGGGCCGATATTAAATGTGGCGGGTCGTCTTTGATCTCCTGCCAAGGTAGGTTCCAGGGGCAGCTTTGGGAGTCTGCAGGGGATTGGGTGATTGGCATTCTGACGAGGGTAGAAGGGAACGCAGGTGGCTTTGAGCACAGGGCTGGGCAGGGGGTTGGATGGATGGAGCTGGAAAGAGTAGAAGGGGGAGGGTGGTGTGCCGGCTTACTGGAGGGCATGGATGCCTCTGCCCTGTTGCTTGAGCTCAAAGAGGATCCTAATGAATGACCGTGAGGTTACCAGAATTTGAAACTCCAGTCACTGGGTACCAGCTTGAGAAATTCTGTTATATCCTCAAAACACCCCCCAAAATTTCTAATACTTTAGTGTTAAGGTTTTTCTTTATCAAATATCACCTCTGGTTAAAATAAAATAGAGTTTTTCATTTTATTTTTTGAGATGGGGGTCACTCTGTTGCTCAGGCTGGTGTACAGTGGTGCAATCATAGATCACTGCAGCCTCCACCTCCCAGGTTCAAGTGATCCTCTTGCCTCAGCCTCCTGAGCAGCTGGGACCACAAATGCACACCACTATGCCCAGCTAATTAAAAAAAAATTTTTTTTTTTTTGTAGAAATGGGTTTTCACCATGTTGCTCAGGCTGTTCTCAAACTCCTGAGCTCAAGCAGTCCTCCCACTTCTGTCTCCCAAGGTGCTGGAATTACAGGTGTGAACTACCTCACTTGACTTCTTTAAACTTTTTAAGCTTAAAATTTATCCATATTAGGTCTGTAACTAGGCCAGTTTCATTTGCCATAGGAGAAGGCCTTAAGAATCAAGTGAGGAGGTGGGTGGATCATTTGAGGTCAGAAGTTCATGACCAGCCTGGCTAACACGGTGAAACCCCGTCTCTACTAAAAATACAAAAATTAGCCAGGCAGTAGTGGCACGTGCTTGTAATCCCAGCTACTCAGGAGGCTGAGGCCAGAGAATCACTTGAGCTTGGGAGGAGGAGGTTGCAGTGAACTGAGATTGAGCCACTGCACTCCAGTCTGGGTGACAGTGTGAGACCCTGTCTCAAAAAAAAAAAAAAAAAAAAAAAAAAGGCGGGCGGGTGGGTTAAAAAAAGAATCAAGTGAGAAGAAAACAATGTTATTACGTTTCTTGGTAACATAGAAGGTTAGCAGGTGCCATGTGTTAAAGATACTCTAGCACCAAGCAAGGCCTTCTTTGTGGTAGAGAAATAGCTAACACATGTGGAATGCCCGGCACTATGCAAGCACTTCACAAATAGTAACTCATTTAATCCAGTGACTCCAGGATAGAGTCAGGATAGATTATTATTCCCATTTTACAGATGAGAAAATGAAAGTAGAGAAATATGTGAGGGTCAAGGTCACTCAGCTCACAAGCCATGGAGCTGGTCTCGGAAGCATAGCAGTTCTGCTCCAGCTCCACACTCTTAAGCAAGTTTTGGAAAGAACTTGAAAGGCTTGAAAACATTTACAGGATATGATTCAATGTTACTTCATACTGTGTCCGTGTGCTGGGCACTGTCTGCTGCACGCATCCTGCCCTTGGGGACACTCTGATCCAGTGGGACCCTCTGTGGTTATAGAGGGGGAAAGAGGACTGACCCTCTGTTGCTGTAGAGGGGAGGTGACCTGGCCAAGGTCACACAGTCGTCCGTGGCACAGCCAGACCCTAAGCACCCTGAGTTCCTAGCGCCGCTCCTCCCTTCCTTGCATGTGGTTTTGTGCTCCCATGCCGGAGTCCTGACTCCTGGGGCTCTGCTTTATTGGGGAGCAGGGCTTGGGCTGCTTCCCTCCTGAGGATTCTCCATGGGAAGCTGAGTGAGCGCGCTGACCCATTTCTGGGATCTTCCCCACAGTCCCCCACCCTTCCAACACACTGTCCCAGGTGGAAGACTCCCTAGTGGAAGGAGGGGCTGACATATGACCTCCTGATTGACTTGTATCTTTTCCCACTTAGAAATCTTGGGTTCCAAGGCAAAGAGTGAAGAAGGGCATGGAGGGGCTGCACCCCCTACCATGTGGGGCCAGCTCCAGGCCCTTCTTTCTCTTCCCTCTTTACTCTCAGGCCCCATCACACACACACTTCTCAGGATCCAGCAGAGGAGGAGGTCTTAGCCCCTAAAAGCGTCATAGTTTTCCTCTCCAAACTCCCGCAACCCAGACGTGCTTTCCCTTTCATAGGCTGCAGGCCACCCCCGCTGACCCCTCTCCACTCAGAATTCCTCCTTCTTGCCTCTGTCCTCTTTGACTCAGACTAGGGCTCCCTGAGGGCAAGGCTGGTATCTCCCTCTGACTGGGGGCTTCCTGGGAGCCCACCCACTTTGGTCCCTGTGGACTGAATCAGCTCCATTGCCCTAAGCCTGTGAGGCAGACTCGGGCTGGGAAGCTGCTTCAGATTCCTTTGGGCCTCATCCCAGAGGGCCGTGTCCCCAGGCAGCCAATGGAGCCCAGGGATAGCAGAGTAGATGATTAACTCCAGGCCTATTGACCCTGGGGCCACTGTGTCCCCTCTACCTCCCCTCTGGTTGGGGAATTGGCCCTGCTTTCTAGAGGAGAAGTGTGGGTGTCTGGGGTCAGCACTCCTACGCAGCCCCGCCCCTCTGAGTTGAAGGCCTGCAGGATCATTGTTGCTGTGTGGGTCCCGCTCACATTTTTTCTTCCTCTAAAACTGGCTGATAGAAGCCGGGCACGGTGGCTCACGCCTGTAATCCCAGCACTTTGGGAGGCCGAGGCGGGTGGATCACAAGGTCAAGAGATCGAGACCATCCTGGTCAACATGGTGAAACCCCGTCTCTACTAAAAATACAGAAAATTAGCTGGGCATGGTGGTGCGTGCCTGTAATCCCAGCTACTCAGCAGGCTGAGGCAGGAGAATTGCCTGAACCCAGGAGGCGGAGGTTGCGGTGAGCCGAGATCGTGCCATTGCACTCCAGCCTGGGTAACAAGAGCGAAACTCTGTCTCAAAAACAAACAAACAAACAAAACAAAACAAAACAAAACAAAACAAAACTGGCTGATAGATTGTTAGAGCAGAGCCTGCCTGTCTCACCAGGCTTGGGTCTTGGAGATCCTGGGATCAGAGACACAGCTTCCACCCAGAAGGGTCAGCGAAGGAGCCAGGTTTAAGCTCAAGGCTTTCCTTCCCATACAGCCCTTCTTGGCTGCAACTCAGCCCAGCAGGGCATGAATGTGACCAGAATCGGCCAGAATGAGGAGCTGTGATTGACACTGACAGTACCATGTCACAGCTCCTGAAGGGAGGCACACACATATGCACAGTACACAAATATAGAGCCCCATAGCCTTCAAATGCAAACAGATACACAATATGTAGACACATGGGTGTACAGAGAGACACAGACACAAGCTTGGAGACCCACACTACCATAGTCGCACAGACACATCTGCATATAGAGGGATGCCCATGTGTATACATACAGGTGTACAGAGGTACACAGATCCACTCAAACACGTTTGCCCATGGAACTGTGCATTCACACAGGCTGGGCGCTGTGGCTCACACCTGTAGTCCCAGCCCTTTGGGAAGCCAAGGTGGGTGGATCACTTGAGGTCAGGAGTTTGACACCAGCTTGGCCAACATAGCGAAACCCCGTCTCTGTTTAAAAAAAAATACAAAAATCAGCTGGGTGTGGTGGCTGGTGCCTCTCAGCTACTAGGAAGGCTGAACATGGGAGGCGGAGGTTTCGGTGAGCCAAGATTGCGCCGCTGCACTCCAGCCTCGGTGACAGAGTGAGACTCTGCCTCAAAAAAAAAAAAAAAAAAAAAAAAAAAAAAAAAGTGCACCCTTACAGAGGCATTCTCAGTGACTATGTCACATAGGAACACATGGACATAGACGTGGAAAGACACCTAGAACACACAAAAACACACCCAGCTGTGGCCATTGACAACTACAGGATACTTCGACACACCCAGAGTAGCACAGACCTCCTGACAGTGCCATCTGCCCCATCTACAAAAGCACACAGATACACCCAGGCCCAACCAAAGGTAGACGTGCGGCCGTCATGCTCATGTGACAGAAACCCTGATCGGATCCACCTTCTGTCTGTTCTATGCCTGTACCACACAGCTGAACATGCGTGATGGCTAGAGAAAGACGTACAGCTGGGCACGGTGGCTCACGCCTGTAGTCCCGGCACTTTGGGAGGCTGAGGCGGGCGGATCACCTGAGGTCAGGAGTTTGAGACCAGCCTGACCAACATGGAGAAACCCCATCTCTATTAAAGTACAAAATTAGCCAGGCGTGGTGGCGCACGCATGTAATCCCAGCTACTCGGGAGGCTGAGGCAGGAGAATTGCTTAAACCTGGGAGGTGGAGGTTGTGTTGAGCTGAGATCCCGCCATTGCACTCCAGCCTGGGCAACAAGAGTGAAACTCCATCTCAAAAAAAAACACAAAAAAACAAAAAAAACAAAACAAAACAACAACAACAAAAAATTGAATGAATAAAGAGAGAACAGAAGTCTGGGTGCAGTAGCTCATGCCTGTAATTCCAGCACTGGGAGGCTGAGGCAGGAGGACAGCTTGAGCCCAGAAGTTGGAGACCAGCCTGGTTAACAAAGGGAGACCCTATCTCTACCAAAAAAACAAACAAACAAAAAAAAGTGGGCATAGTGATGTGCGCCTGTAGTCCCTAGCTACTTGGGAGGCTGAGGTGAGAGAATCGCTTGAACCTGGGATGTGGAGGTTGCAGTAAGCTGAGATCGTGCCACTGCAATCCAGCCTGGGTGACAGAGTGAGACGCCTTCTCAAACAAAACAAAGCAAAGCAAAGCAAAGCAAAACAAAACAAAATAAATGAAACAATAAAACGATTAAGTAATGTAAATTTCATATGGTTCTACTT